AAATAATTAAATAATTAATTTTAAAAGATTCAAAATATTAATATTTAAATTCTAACTAAATATCCCTTAAACCTTCCAACCAATCGAACATCAAATAACTTCAATCTAATATCCTATTTAGGAAATATCAAAACCATACGACCTACCTCACACACTTTAGGTGGTTTGCTAGGATCATCGACTCTAGTTTTAGGATAGGCCGGTGTTTTACTTTCTGCAGTTGTGTGCCGTGTTTTTCAAGCTTTCACTGCATGCTGCTTGCTAGTGTAGAATTGATGTGTTTATTTACTTACTTCCTGCACTCTGTGATTGATTGTGCGTTAGATTTACCCTTAGGTTAGGAACAAATTATACTTGTGCAATCTTATGCAGGTGGCCATGCTCATACAAGGAGCTGAAATTAAAGGGGGCAATTAATAAAAAAATCATATACTCTTTGCATAGGTACCTACCTCGCTTAAGACCCCCTTTAAATAAAAAGAGCATGGCCAACTGTGGCTAAAAAAAAAAAGAAAATGCATTTCAATTTTCATATTATAACTGCTTGTGATTGAATTTATAACTACTGATTATTAGGATAACCTTGTAGGATCGAGTCTAGATTTTCTTATTTCATTCAATATAAATTTAATTCAATTAAGGTTGTAATTATTTGAAATGACTTGAATTTGGGATATTTGATCCAATTTGAATTCCAAAGAGGTGAAGACATCCCTAAATGGGAGAGTCTTCTTCCATTTGGAAGTCAAATTAGGATCCCTTTCAAATATGCAAAGAGGAAAGATAACACCCTGTTCAAGGGGGAGTTTCTTTCCATTTGGATATCTGGAACTGACGAATCAAGATGTTCGTGAGAAGATGAAGAAATGGACAACGAGAAGAATCCCAATTCTTAAACTCATTTAATTTAGGATTAGAATCCGGGTTATAGTCAGTGGTGCCCGGCCACTCTAATTTTCTGCAAAAATTTTGTGATGTAATAAAAGGACACTTGCCTATGGACATTCAATTTGATATATTTAATTTAATTGATTTAGTTTAATTGGTTGCGCATTAGAACTCCTGCTTTTCTAGTCTTTTTATCTGCATGTCGTATTTGGTTTGACCTGTAATTAAATTTAGGCTCTTAGGGGTTTGTCAAAAAATTCTTTTACTTCAATTAAATAAAAATTTTAGGATAAGATAGAAACTCTAAATGGTCCTAAGAAGTAAGCTCGGACTCGCCGAGGGTTTTTCATGCATTCATATTATACCTTCTCTATCTTGTTAGGCATCTCCCCGCCTACGGGTTCTGGCAGACCACCTGGCCTATGAGGGTGCCGATCTGTCAAGGGGATGTTATGCAATCTCTAGGGAAAAACATATTTTCTAAGCCAAAAAATTTTAAACTGCTACATATCAATTTTGCATTCA